CTAGTTGGGATTAGGCTTGCTCCACACTTTTTATAGATACATATATTATTGGATTTGATCAGATCAATTTGGGTAGATCCATATGCTCAATACAATTATAAACAGAACAAATTCAAATCACCCTAAGGCTGTGTTTGGTTTGAAGAAAAAAGTAGGAAAAGGAAGGGAAAGGTAACAAATCTAATATAGGTTTGTTTCCTTACCTTTCCCTTCCTTTCCCTACCTTTTCCTTCAAACCAAACATAGCCTAATTGAACCAATTTCGAATTTGAATTCAGATAAAAAGATATCACTTGCAGCCCTATGTGATAATCTGTTAAAACCCTTAATCATCATTTTCATTGACAAAATCTTCATTGATCATTGCCAAACAAATACTAAAAAAGTGAAAGTGGAAGTGTGGTTAGTATAGCTTGCTAATGCATCCGCAACCTTGGGATGCCATAATTCTACCATGAGATGATAAAAAGGCTTTATCTGGACTAGGGATGGGCTTGCTGATCTGTCTCTCAACTTTTAGGTTTGCTATTGGCATGTCTGCATTATATACCTGGTTTACCATCCCTTCCGGCCACTTGTTCAAAAATCAAATAGATAAAACTAATGAAGTAAAACTGCCATCTCCTCATCTTTCACAAGAAATGACTTCTTCAAAAGTAATTGCTTTTTCTAGCTAAATAAACTTTATATTATTGTTAGAGAATAAATAACCATTCAGGTACCTCACCTAATAGCTTAAGCTTTCAGGTTGAACGGTTCTTTAAGATTGTATTAGATTCTATTTGATCAAGTTTTCTAGTGTTCAATCTTTATCGTTCCCATTATAATTAATTAAATTTCAGCAATGTAGGGGTATCAACGGTATTCGAAAATCCAATTTCGAATTTGATATTCGACATAATCAAATCGAATTCGGATAATTCGAATATGTAATCGGTTGAATTCGGATATCTTATTCATACCAAATAGTTAATCGGATTCAAATTCGGATATGACTTGATTCGATTCGAAATATCCGAATTCAACCAATTATTTAATTCTTATATATAATATAAAATATTTTATATAATTTATATATATAATAATTAAGTTATATAAATAATTTATATATATAATAATTAAGTTATATAAATAATTTATATATTTATATACTTTATATCAATAAAATATTTATTTTATATATAATTATCTAAAATAATTAATTAATCAAATTCGAATCGAATCGAATATTCGGATTCGAATTCGGATATTAATTTTTAATATTCATCGGATATCGAATTTTCTAATCGAATTTGAATTCGGATATTGCCTGATCCATTCAAATTCGATCCGTTTACACCCATAAAGATATGGGTGGGTCTATGCTTGTTCACACATTAAGTCCAATGGCCTTTCATGTGAGGGGTGTATTAGAAAATAAATATCTATTCATGTACCTCACCTAACAGCTTAAGTTTTTAGGTTGTGTGGTTTCACTCTACTTCAGTTTTGTTTGTATTTGGTAAGAATGCATTTGTGTATTGAAAATGAAAACAAACAAATACAGATTCCAAGACATAGCATTCACAATGAGAGAAATGTTTGCATTCGAATTAGACTCGAAGTTGGTCAGTGTAGAAAAGGCAGATTTCAGTCTTAATTCATGTTTGCACCTATCACAACTAAAATGCATTTGGCAAAAAGTACAGATGGAACCAATTTTGCATTTTTATGAACCGGACACATTTGCATTTGTGCTGAACAATTTTGTATATGCAATCTTCCCAAACTGAACCTTACTTTATATGCTATGCTATGAGCCAGTTCATTCTTCTATTTGCATAATTTCCACTTCATTGGTCAAAACATTTAATTAGTAAACTATATATGATCAATGTATATCTTCTCCTCACAAGATCATAGAGGGATGAGATGAGATGGGTATATGAAGAATATCTGAATAAAAAGGCAAAATCTTTGGCACATATACAACATACATGGACCTTTGCACAACTTCCAAACCCAGTACAAAAACAATGTTACTAGAGATAGAGATGAATTGCATGTTTATTCTTTCCTTTTGCTCTTAAGTCAGTTCTTTTATCTTCTACTTGCTCAAGTTKCCTTTCTTCTTTAGGCCGCATGTATGAATAGTCATAAAGCAAGCATTCAAGTACTACATATTCATGAATCTGTGTTTGGAAGTGATGTAAAACGTTATTGATATAAAAGTACATTGATGAGGATGAGGTTTTATACCGAATCATAAAAAAAAAGTTACCATTGAACTTCCAAAAGCATGGAGAAAAAGTGTTGACTTTTTATATCAATTTTATCAATGTAGTATTTATATCGATAATCGATGTAAAACTTTAGTTTTAATAAGGTTTACATCGATTTATGACGTAAAACATCACTCCATCCAAACACCAACAAATCTAAATTGGAGTAAAGTTTTCATCGATCTTGATTTACACTCTATCCAAACACCAACAAAATCGAACCGACATAAACTTTTACATCAATAACGTTTTACATCACTTTTAAACGCAGCCTTAAAGAATTAGATCCAAGTATTTTGCTAGCTATCATTATTTGAAAAGAACATGACATTTTCAAGCCTACAAAAATTTAATCTCTTGTGTTTGTTTCTCGACATATCCAGGTTCCTATAATTTCAAAGTTTTCTTCTTAGATCCACAAAGGTTCTACATTGTTTAGACTCATATATAGTCTTACCATCATTAAGCACTATTTGTATTTGACTGTGTCATAACAGTCAATTAAAATTCTTCCGAGCTTGTCATGTGTAATTCTAGTCTCAGGATTGGATAGAGGAGAAGGGTTGTATCAGACTAACACTTGGACTTGTATGTACAACTTTTGCCAAACTCTTATGAATACAATTGATGATGCGCAATTTGGTCACTCTCTCGTGTCTCGTGACTAGGCTCGAACAAGAGTCCAATCTGGCAAGGCCGAGTTGCACCACTGAGCTGTTATCTGAGTGTCCGAGCTGAAGGTGAGCTGGAAGGAAGAGATAGGTGAGAGTGCCCAGGTATGTTTTCCCCGGGCGAACACTCTGATGCTTAAGTCAGAAAGGTAGTTATAGAAATTCCCTTAAGAGTGTGAGAGAGCTAAGTATATCAGTGCACATACCTTTTGGGGTAGATTTGGTGCCCTTTTACAGTTAGTTATCTGGGGTTCTGGTGCCTGGGGCAACGTTTCTAAGTCTTTGGTGGAGTTATTTCCTTATCATAAGGTGTGTTAGCATGTCAGTTGCTAGGTTTGCACAGCGGTTACAAGTCACCACGGGTCTTGTGGTGAATGGTTCGGCGAGCTGCTCCTATGGTTGTAGTAATGGCGCCTTCAAGAGCGAGATGTGTGAAACAGTTTTGGGCGAGTTTGCATTGTCGATGGCTCAAGCTCGCCCTAGCTTGGCGGCCTACCTGGTGTTGGTTGACACGTGCTGACTCGTCAAACTGGCCTATTGACTTGGTGTTATGTTGTCGACAGTGTCCACGTGTCATTGTCTGTGTAGAGGGACCAAAATGCCCCTCATCAACAATTATCATCACCATCCAGGCGTTAGCCCAATTAGATATGGGTCAGCTAGACAAACCCTGTTTTGCCAATCCTCCAAGAACTTATTTTACACCATCAGTCCTAATCCTGGATTGTTAGGGTTGAAATTTAGCAAATCTTGGTTATACATCCCAGCCGATACGCCGGAAACGAGTGTATCAATATTTTGAAGCTTGTGCATCTCTTTTTTTAGTTTTTTTTTTTTAATTTGACAGGAGATTTATTTTTATGTTATCTAATTATTAAAAAAGCAGTTCTTTAATTGAAATACCTTAAAAAAAAAGGTATAAGTATGAAAGTATCCCAAAACATCGGGTATGTCATATTGATACTTTCAACTATGTTAATAACTGTTACATTTTGTCATAGGGATCGGTTTGAAATAAATATAAATATAAATATGTACAGTGTAAATGCATTTAAAATAATATAAAATACAAGATTTTTCATTCTATACATTTGCATTTATACTCCTTAGCTTCCAAACTGACCCTAATAAGCTCAGGGACAAATATGTAGAGTGCAAAATCTTCTAATTTGTATTGTTTTATATGTATTTATATTATACATATATATTTGTATTTGTATTCCTTCTAAAGGCTCAGTTTGGAAGGAATACAAATACAAATATTTAGAATGCAAATGCATATAAAATAATACAAAATACAAGATTTTTCACTCTATACATTTGCATTTGTACTCTCTTAGCTTCCAAATTGAGCCTAAAAAATGTCATTTATGTGATTTAAATATGATTAAGTCAAGTGCTATTAGGCTACAACCTAAGAGTCCATTAATACAATGCCAAAATTGAGCTTGTCAAGCATTGGTGGCCTCAAGATCAAATAAAGAGGGGTTCAATCAGTCAAGGTGTAAAACAATATTTGCCTAACCCAATTGTGATCACAAACTCAACCCAATTACACACCCCATCAACTGAATAGTTAGAGTTGGGTTGTGGCAATTCTGGGCTGTCAACACAGTATAACAACTATTACAATAGTCCGTTTTAAGAAACCATAGGCCCTGCAGGATCCATCACCCCTTCCCCTTCTCCTGCTCTAGTCTTTTTCATTTACTTTTTACTTTCTAAAAGCAAAAATTAATCTAGGAAAGTTGATGTTTGCTTAGGGAAAGAGTTCTCATCATCCATCCAAACATCTTTCCATGTCAGCAAGGCTGTCAACGGTGTTGATTTGAGTCATTTGACATTACTCCCCTGGATTTTACTCATCATTACATTGTATTAATAAAAACTCTTCAAAATTTGAAAAAAAAAAATTATTAAAGGGAAATAAAAAAGGAAAAAAAAAGGAAGAAAAGAAAATCACTTTTTTTTTCATTAAAAAAAAAGCACCTTTTTCCCTTCGTCTGTATCTCCATTTCTGTATCTATATATTCTTCCACCACTTCTCCACTAGATTGCAGCAATCAAACCACACAACAGCCGAGCTTAATTTTCCGGTTGTTGGCAAAACAAAAAACATGGATGAATCATGGAGGATGCAAATGGGGTTCAACGTGTCCAGGAGAAGATCCACGGAAGAGAGCTTATCCGATCGGCTGGGGCGCAGCTACTCCGGTCTCGGTAGCTCTCATTCTGACACCATTAATCCCGAGGAATTCAACGACGTCTACGGAGGTCCTCCCAGAACTATATTCTCCCGCCAATTTTCAGGAAGCTTCTCAAATAGATTAGACTCTTTCTACGTAGAGATCTTCCAGCCGTCGGACTTAAGTGCTCCGGCCAACGGCGGTCGAAACTTGCCGGTTTTCAGGATCCCAGCCTCTCGTTGCGGCTCTGGTAGGATTAATGGAGTTTACCGTCAAGGCGACGGTTTCTACAATGATATTTTCGGACCCGACGAGGATCGGAGGTCGAGACCGCGGTCGAAGTCGAAACCCAACTCAAAATCAAACTCTTCCACCGTGCTGAGCCCGGAGGATTTGAGTCCTCTTCGTCCTTCCATTGCAGAAGATATCGTCTTCTCCTCCTTCACCTCGAAGCTCAGGTATTGAAATTGAACTACTACTACTACTACTGATGATAGACCTAAGACCGTTATTTTCAGCTCTTCTTGTTGTGTGCTAATATGACCAGTATACCCTTATCTCCTCTGTGTTATAAGGTTAACAAATAGTCATTTCAATCTCTGCAACCCGGAAAACCGCGGGAGTAGAAGCTAGACCCAGAGGGAGTCCGTTAAGAGGGTTAAATGGCCATTTTGACCTTATAATTTTCTAGAGCTATTGGAGCAGTAGCAATTATAAAACTGAAAAATTAAGGGGGTTTCTTTTGTCAATGCATATCAAATTTCGTTTGTTGAATCGTTGGTTTGGATTTAGAATTGGATTCGGCAAGGTAACATAACAGTTGAGATTTTGAGGAATCCTACTTCTAAACCCTAAATTTCTAAAATTTGGTTTGTAGTTAATTAGGTCATAGAATTGCTTAATTAGAGGAAGCTTCCTGTAAAGGTCTAGTAGGAGTCATCTTGTACAGATTCCCTCAAATCGTCCTTAGGCCCAAGGAGCAGAGGAATTAAAAAGTTTTCTTATTGAGACCAGCCTCATGAAAGCCACCCTCCCCAAAGAAAATTTAATTCAAATAAAATATTAATTGAAGATAGACACAAGGCATAATCCGGGTAGTGTGGTACATGCATACAAGTGGTGCACAACTTTGATAAATCAAGACCGTTCAACTAGTGGGCCCACTAGAACTTCAGTCCAATCACCTCATTCTGAATGAAGGACCTCCAATTGATCAGGGGCTATTAGTGCTCAGATGGGTTATGGTTCGGTATGCCCAGAAAGATTGGACCAGCAAGAAGCTCAACAAAAAGATGTTTGTTTTGGTCTAAACAAGGAAAACAAAAAGCATAGAAACAATGGGTTTTGCCACATATACTTAGTCTTATTTGCAAGAGGCTCTTGTGTTTTGGCTTTTTGTATTTATCCCCCATGTTACAAAAGATTCTCTTGCATCTATCAATACAGCTCAAATGAAGAAACAGAAAGTGTCAATCGGACTTCTGAACTATAAATGGAAAAGATGCCAAGTGGCAAAGTGGTAATTATCACATAAATATGATTGAAGGTATTTTGTCCTTTTGCAGTCAACAAGGGTCAGCTGGTCTACGATACCTATAATTCACTCTCTTATCACAACATATTTCATGTCTAGATCCATTTCATAATAAATATAATATAATTATGTGATATATATAATATATATAAAATTATATAAAATTTATAAATGATAAAATTAATATTTTATATTTATATGTTCTTTTACACTTGTGCAAGTTAAAAGTGATTAATTTTTACCAACATTTTTTGTCTTTTTAAACAAGGTTGCTAGGGATTAAATCCAAATCCGGATCCAAGGATTTGATAATAATCAGATTGGGTGCGGATTTGGTTTGATCTGATCCGGTTAGAGCCATAATTGGGGTGGGATGGCCACTTTTATTTATTTAGGTTGCATTTGGAATCAGTGTAAATCAACAACGGTGTAAAAGTAGCTTATATCGATTTGATTTTATTCGTATTTGGAATAAGAGCTAATCATGATTGACGTGAAACTATATTTCGATTTAATTTTGCATATGTTTGGATGGAGTAGAATTTTACGTCAACAATAGATGTAAAACCTATCAAACGTAAAGTTTTACATCGATTATCAATGTAAATACTATATCAATTTTATCGATGTAAAACCTTATACTCTTCACCCATCACGTTTTTCCAAAAGTAATGGTCACTTTCACCCCTTTACACTTTAACATTTTACACTGATTTCAAACGCAGCCTTATTTTTTTACTTGTTAAAACTCAAATTATTTCATAATGATATTTTTCTTATGAACATCAAGGGGTGCAAAGAAGTGTGGAAGATAAATAGAGAGAGATAAACACATACTTCCAAGGCGCTAAAGGATAGATAAAAATATGCCAAACATATAGATGCAAATCCAAGAAAAATATCTGAAACTATCCACAGTAACTTTTAAAAAGAATTTGGACAGAAACGTTTCTAAAAGTGATCACTATAGTGTTTTAGTACTCTGAAATCTGAACAGTTAGATTTTTGTAAGATGTGAAATATATGGACAACATATTTTTGGAGTAAATTATATTTTCTCATGATAACCCCTAATGCTGTGTTTGGTTCTTGAAAAAATAATTGAGAGAAAGGATACCTTTTTCCAATAATCTCCCCCCAAAACCAACTCTACTTTGTGTTTTTAGTTGTATAATTTTTAACACAAAGCATCTTAATTAAACCTGAATCTATCCTGTACTATCTTTTTTTTCTTGTTTCTTTTTTCTTCTTTTTACAAGAACAACAAAAGAAACAATGGAACTGAGTTACAAAAGAATGAGTCAGCCAATCACAAGTGAACTCACTGAGTTCAGAGTGGAATACTAAGATCAAGGGGACAGTATAAATCGATCAGTGCCAACAAGCAACTATTTTTGAAGATATTACATCTGAAGAAAAAATTATTCAAGTGATTTTTCAACAATTAGCAACCAACCCCATTCACCAATTGGGCCCTTAATTACTAAATTCTCTGAATGATATCTCAGGCCAATCAACGTTCGGTGTCAACAAAATTCACCTTCAAGGATGTATGAAGAACAACAGAGGAAACATGCTGGGGCGTCAGCTACTCCAAGCACTCACCTTTCATACACAGATTTCCAGTATACCGAACAAGACTATACTGAACCTTTAAAGAGCTCGCATGTTGGGTTCTCGCGTCGAAATTCATCCCCTGAAACAATTATCAGCGTCGAACCCAATTCATATCAGAGCATCAAAATATCAGTGGATGATGTGGAGACGGATTCTCCTTCTTCTGAAGTTTCTTCACTTTATGGAGACGCATATGCTGAGGCCAGGATGCAAGGCAAGGCATTGCAGGATGAAGAAGTGGAACAAGAAGAAGATGAAGAAATTATGAGCTCTTATGTTATTGAAATCAATTCTGATAAAAGGGAGGGGAGTAATGATTCGTTAGCCATAGATGAAGCAATTGCATGGGCAAAAGAGAAGTACTTTAGCCAAAGCTATGAGGATTCAGAAGGTGGAAATCGGCAAAAAAACATTAGACAGAAGGAGAAGGAACCATCTGTAGAGAGAGGAAGTAATGTCTCTAACATCAAGCAGTAATTTGAATTTAATTGCAACAGAGAAAAGTTGCAGAAGAGATCTAACCCCCCCCCCTGTTGCTTTTTCTTTGACAGGAAGGAGTAATTCACATGAAAGTATGGATCAACAAACAATGGAAGGACATGGAAGAATGCAGACGCAATCACTTGTGGTAAGTTGTCTCTGTGAAAATGAAAAAGAAATGGAAAATCTTCTTTTTTTTTAAATTATTCAAATTGGAGAAAAGCAAAACAGTTTAAACTTTTCAAGTGAAAACCTTTTAACAGAAATATGTTGATTGCTTTCACAAGCCTTTTCCTCCACAGTTTAAAACCACTGGGGCTACTGTTTCAAGGAAATTAATTGTAGTCTCTCCTGTACAAAGACATGTGAATCCACCCTTTCATGTTTTTTTTTTTTTTTCTGGTCATTATGAGGTGGTACAGGATGCTTAACTTTGGTTCTACTATTTACAGGGAAAAGGAGACCCATCTAAATGGACAACAGCAGAAGAAAATCAACAACTCCAAAAAGATGTAAGCTTCTTCTGAAAATGGATATATGCACCATGTGAGTGTGTGTGTGTGAGTGTGTTTTCAAAAAAAAAAATTAAAATAGAATAATAAAAATAAACCCAAATTAACTGCTTGTGTGAAGTTCATATCACAATGTTTAAAACCAAATTAACTGAAACTGGACCCTTAAATAACACTCTTTCTTACTATATTAGTATGCTATATCAGTTGGAGCAAAATTTTGAAATCCCAAGAACAGTAGAAGTGGGATTCCAATTCATCCAATATGGAACAAAGAATACTATCAGAATATACTTTCATTTATTGTCTCAAATTTTGGCATTTCATTTATTTGCAAGTGTTTCTAACTTTTTCGTCTCTGTTATGGTGCAACTGAATGTATACAGATGGAGATGGAGCAGTTGGAGGAAGAAGTAAGACTATGGGCAGCAGGAAAGGAAGGAAACATTCGGTTATTGCTTTCAACACTGCATCATGTAATACATTTTGTAGTTTACTTTTAAGAATATGGATTAAGACCTCCTCACAGGGTTGTATTAACTAGCTTTCTGGCTTCAATTTCAGATTCTATGGCCCAACAGCGGGTGGCAAGCAATCCCACTAATAGAGTTGATAGAAGCTTCACAAGTGAAGAAGGCCTACCAGAAAGTGAGGTTGTGTCTTCACCCAGACAAATTGCAACAAAGGGGTATCACATTCCCACAGAAATATGTTGCAGAGAAGGCATTCACCATCCTCCAGGTATCTTCAAACTCAGATATATACAAAAACTAGAAATATGTGATAACTGTAGGTCATCAGTTTGGTGTTCTTAATTAATGACTATAAATTGAGAAGACTTCTCAGTTGATTATGATTATTTACATGTATTTATAGGATTCTTGGACAGCATTCATCTCCCAGGATGTCTTATTTGGCTAGGCAAGACTTATGGGCGCTCTGTATCTTCATTTTTGTTGTCAAGAATGATCGAGAACTCAAACACAAGGGCAGATGCTTGGATTACAGCCTCTACAGCAAGCTGTCTCGAACAATCGATGAKCTAAAAGTCCATTTATCAACTCAAGTGCTTTGCAATGTGCCTAGAGGTTTTGTGGGGAACCTACCTTCTCTTGTGTTGATGTTTCAATAAGATGTGATGAAATGCCAATGAAGAAGACATCAATGAAGATGGAAGTGAGTTGTAAACCGCAGCATGTTCAAAATATATGCATTATTTTTGAATTTTTCTTTCCTTGAGCGATTGCTTGATCTCCCATTCTGCAATACTTTGAATGTCGCCTGTGAGATAGCATAAATAATCTGCTTCTAAGAGACCTCTCTCTCTCTCTCTCTTAATACTTCAAGAATTACTTCTATTCTACCTTTAAAGATACAACAAGGCATGCATGTCTGTTAAAAGAAAATTTCTCTCAGCGTTCCACAAAATAAACTACTAGCCGGTATTTATTTTTCTAATTTTATTTTGGTACTACTAATTGTATTTTTTTTCTCCGTCCCCACCCTCTTTGGAATGAAGCCAAACGAAATGAAAATTCGAGAATTATGGAATTTGTGTCCAAATTTTAGGGTATGTTTTTAAATATGTTATCCTAAGTCACCGTGAAGCAAAACACATGAACCAATTATAAAGGGATACATCATATATAGTTGACATCTTTAACCTTGTTGAAATCTTTAGGCCCCGTTCATTTTTGAGATTTTGAAGGGGGAAGTTGGTAAATGGGATTGTGGTTCTTATTGACCAACTTACCCATGTTTTTATTTCAGAAACATGTGGGACCTACAAAAAATTGATTTTCCTCCCGGGTAAGTGATACTCTTCTCAAACTTGGGTAAGTTGAGTCTCACACGTAGAGGGTAAATGAAAAAAAAAATTAAATGGTAAAAAAATGTACCCACAAGATACATTTACCCAGGTAATATAAACAAAGAAAGAAGATGAATAAGTGCACTTATCCTAGTAAGTGCATTTACTCGAGAAAATTAAATAGGTTCATGAAAAACAAACAAGGCCTTAATGATTAATATAATGAAACACTATTAAAATTTAAATTTATTCTTCAAAAGCACTTTTAAGTAGGTTTAAAAATAGAGAATAAAAAATAGGCACCTTTAGGTCGAGTGTCAATTTAATACTCGAACTTTAAAATGTGACAATCTAGTACCCCAACTCTCGTAATCTAGTACCTGGCGTTAACTAACTGTAAAGTATCATAGGAAAAGACACAAATGCCCCTTAAGTTTCATCTAATTTTTTACTGTTCACCACCACATCATCTCCGTTGGATACCACCACTGTTCCCCGCCACGCCACAGAAGAGAAAACGAGTGTTCATAGTCAGAATTAAACAAATTAAAGTTCACCGCCATTGTTCCAGTCTGAACCATGGTTTCCGCCTCATGCTGTTCATTACCACTGTTCCCCGCCACTGTGCATCTGCTGCCACCGGATTCCGGGGATGGAATTTTTGCGGTTATAAATCCAAACTTATTCCAGATACTAGAAACGTCTGCTCGGACATTCGCGAGAAGACATACCCAGAAAGAGAAAGAGAAGTGCTAATTGCTGAGGATAATTCCTTTCTTTATTTTATTTTTCACCACTTACATATCTAAATACCTAACATTACATTTTGGTAATACCTAACATTACACACTTGATGAACATGAAATGAAGGACCCAGATGGACCGACGGACGGCTAACTGCCTGGACTAATTTGCAGCGAAGACTCTTATCTTACACTTAAATGAAACCGTAAGTAAATTTGGATCAATTCTATAAATTATGGCAGGACGATAGGGGCCTGCTATCTGTCTTAAATCTCTGTCGTTTTCGAGCCCTCATGGTGAGGATCACACCCAGAAGGCAAAATCACACGTATACATGGATAATTGAATTGCAGGTTTGCTCATGTAAGTTAGTAGTCTGCAGGCCACAAACATCAAAGCTTCCCCATCTCCAGAGAGGAAGCTTCTCAGCTTGAAACAGATGCCTGAGATGAGATTGTTACTATCTGTCACACTTATCACCCTACTGCTATTGTTTCTATTCCCTCTATGTTCAGCCCTTGAACGTGTCTTTTTTCCAGCACAAGGAGATTCTGATTCTCTTACCCAACAAGAAGAAGTGGAAACAAGCAGGGCATCGTGGGTTCTTCATGTTGCAGACGCCGACAAAGAGAGAATAAATGCCTATCGTTTCTTCCATGCCCGGAAGCTTGGCGTCCACACGAAGAGAAAGGGGCGGCTGATACCTGGAGGCCGCACCAGATCTTCATTCGGATTCCGACCATCAGTATCTTATAGCCATGTTTGTTTTGTTATTGATTTTKTTTTTTGAAAATAAACCGAAATGTACTACACACAACAGGGGGTAGTATGTCCCCAAAAGTCAGCAGAACAAATAAAAAGAAGAGAAGGGGAAAGAGATAAGATGCTAAAATCTAGAGAAGAAGAAGAAGAAGAAGAAAGAGCTTTCTGAGCCAGCCAATCAGCCACCTAATTTGCTTCTCTGTAGACATGTTGATAGTGAAGATCTCCTCCGAACAAATCTCTCTACGAATCTCCTTCTATGATGATAGGAAACTCCCTAAAATTTGAAGCTTGAACATGGGCTTCCCATGCAACCCAAGCTTCAGCCTGGTTAATGGAACAAATACCAAGTTTATATGCTTTGACCGCTAGCACCTTACTAAGATGGTCCTAGACTATACAAGCCACTGAACATTTTCCTTTACTACTGCGAGAAGCATCAAAGTTTATTTTGATAACACCATATTTTGAAGCATTCCAACTTATTTGTTTCCACCACTTGTGAGATGCGGTAGAGGTACTGAATTTATTCTCATCAAGAATTTCCATGAACATATTTAGAGCTCTATCTAATAGTATTGGAATGGGAGTAGTACCATAGTTAAAAGTTTTAGAGTTCTTATCTTTCCAAACCACCCATAAAACAAAGGCTAGTTTTTCCTTAATGAAAAGAGTTTTACTTTCTTCTTTAGTGCACATTCTTATCCACCAATGACTTAGATTTTCATTTTCCTTTGGCCCTTCCAAGGGAGCGCTTAAAGTCAATCACACTTGCTTTGTGTGATCACAACATTTAAAAATGTGTACAGTATCTTCCTCAAACCCACATAAGCTACAAGAGCCATCAATATTAAGTCATCTTTTCCTCAAGTGGCTTCTAGTAGGCAGTCTATTATTAAACAGAAAAAATAGAAATGCTTTGATCTTTGGAGGGCATTTCAAATTGTAGATGCTATTCAACCAATTAAAGTGGCTAGGAGAATTTGATATAGAGAAACATTTGAGTAAATAAGCTGATTTGATAGAGAATGTCCCCTTGGGACTGTACTCCCAAACCCTTTTATCCTCCATGTTATTAGGGGCAATATCAATACTCTTAATGTTTTGCCAAACATTTTCAGAGACTTCATTTTTAATTTTGTCTTCCTTCTAGCAAACCCTCTCAAAATCAATCATTTCTGCTACTTTGATATTAGTATTTGTGATATTTTCATGGTTCAAAGTTTCAATTAGAGGTTTATCATATACCCAATTATCCAGCCAGAAATTTATAGAGCTTCCATCACCTACTTAACAATGAGATCCCAATCTAATGAAATCTTTAGCAAGGAGGATGCCTCTCCAAGCCCAAGAGATCCCTTTTTTAATATTGATGTCCAAAAAGTTTTCCCTTCTCAAATATTTGCTCTTAACAACTTTTACCCACAAGTTACCTTCTTCATTCTGAATCCTCCACCCTAACTTAGCTAGGCTAGCCTCATTAACCCAGCAAAGTCTTCTTATCCCCATACCACCCCACCTTTTGGGAGTGTAGAGTTTTTCCCAATTCATTAAGTGGAGGGATTTCTTATTAGTAGTATTGTCCCAAAGAAAATTTCTTTGAATTTTTATCCAACTCATCAATGGCATTTTTAGGGATTTTGAATGAATTCATTATAAATTGAGGCATCATATTTGTTGTTGAATTGATGAAAATTAATCTACCTACAGTTGATAGGGGATTTTTTTCCAATTTTCCAATTTATTCATTATTTTCTCTTTAATCTGAGAAAATGTATTATTTGTAACTCTTCCAGTGATGATGGGTGCCCCTAAATAAGAATTAGATTTAGTCACCAAAGGGATTCTAAGCATTTTAGAGAGCATCTTCTAGAATCTATGCGGTGTATTTTTCAAGAAAAAAAAAACAACAGATTTGTTAAAATTTGGACATTGGCCTAAGGCCTTAGCATAACTTGTAATGGTTTCCTTAACTTTCAAGCATGCAAAAATGGTAGTATTTGCAAAGATAAAATAGTCATCTGCAAATTGTATATGAAATAACTTATTATTCCTGTCTCCCAAATTGATCAAGTTTATTCTTGCTCTTTGAACCCAATAAGCCTCATCCCTTTCCAATAGTTTATCAAGTTGTTTTTGAAGAGCATTTTCAAGATTTAATAAGGAGATATTGCTTTTTTCATTATCATAATTTCTTCTGATGTTAGTTAATTAATACAATGATTTAATTGACAATATGCAAATAATTACAAGGAAGAATCATTGTTATTCTCTTTCAAAAAATTACAAATGGAAGAATCTCTGGGCCACTACTTCTGAGTATGTTTTGATCGTGGAGGCCTAGAGGGCTTCTTCTATGTCTAGTCTCTAATCCCCTTTATCTTTTTGCTTTCTCTATTATGTTTTCTAGGTATAGTGCAAAGGTTGCAGACCTCTTTCTAGAGAGAATCGAGAGATCCCTTCAAACCACTCTTGTTGTGTTGATGGGCAACTCAGTCAGGCATAAAAGAGATGAGTTCATATATCCTCTAACAATTGGCTTGCATCCTTCTTGATGACTTAGTCGTGTACCAGACCAGTTCCCTATTTATGTAGATGTAGTCAAGCTTCTTTCTAGCTTTCCCTCAACAATGTAGTCAGGAGACGGTTGTTTTATTAAGGGAAAATTCCCAAGGTGCAGCGAAGACAGCCAGATGTTCATTTTCTTGAGAAAGCCAGACGTTCATTCCTCGGTTGGTGGATGGAGGATTCATCTCCATCAAGAGATTTGGGTTCCTGGAACCTGATCTTCATTTTCTTAAGAAGGAAGATGATGAATAGTGTGTTTGGGCTCTGTTTGTCCAAGGGTAATTTTGACATTTTTAAAACTTTTAAATTGCATATGAGATCACGTGATATACATAATTGACGGTCCATTTACGGTAGGTACTAGATTGTTGCATTTCAAAAGTTCAAGTACTAGATTGTTGTGTTTTAAAGTTTGAGTACTAAATTGGCACT